AGGGTTGGGGGGTGAGGGTCCCCCGCGGACGGTCCCTCACCTCCGTAGTAGGTGTAGGGCGTGGAGCCCAGCATCTCGGACTCGTCGAGGCGGCCGCCGAGGGGCCGCATCCTGCGTGGGCTGCGGAAGAAGGCGTGTCGCCGGGCACCCAGCGCGCTCAGCTGCTTCATGCGCCGCTCCTTGGACCGACGGTTCTGGAACCAGACCTGCACAACTAAATAATGGGAGCTTATTAAAACCCTGCCCCCCCCAGCTGTGTCCCCCTGTGCCATCCGTCTGTCTGTCCCTACAAGGAGAAGGTGGCCAGAAAATACAGGAAGGAGAATTTTCCCTTCTAGAGGGGGGAAGAAGGGAGGAAAAGAGGGAAGGAAAATGGGGGGACACCTCTGGATGGTGGCAGGAGTAGGTGGAAAGTGGGGAGCAGGGAGCTTATTAAAACCCTGCCCCCCCCAGCTGTGTCCCCCTGTGCCATCCGTCTGTCTGTCCCTACAAGGAGAAGGTGGCCAGAAAATACAGGAAGGAGAATTTTCCCTTCTAGAGGGGGGAAGAAGGGAGGAAAAGAGGGAAGGAAAATGGGGGGACACCTCTGGATGGTGGCAGGAGTAGGTGGAAAGTGGGGAGCAGGGAGAGAAGGACCGGTGGCAGCTGGTGAGGATGAAGATGGGAGAGGAAGACACAGTCACCTCTCTAAGGGGTATCACCTCATCCCAGCTGTGCAGCCTCAGCCCACATGTGCCTTCCCCAGCTCTGGTGGGGCTCTGGATTCTTGTCCCACTCCCCCAGCGTGTCCCCTGGGAATGGGGCGGTTTGGGGGAAGGAGCACATCGTGTTCCTTTGGGATTTCTGCTCCCAGGACTCACAGCTCTGCCGGAGTGTCCCCCCCGTGAACAGCTGTTAAAGGCCATGAATCCCCACATTTCCACAGGGGTTTTCTCCACGGGGACAGTGTGGACTGCCTGCAGAGCACGATGGCTTCTCCTGGCTTCCACAAGGCTCTGGAGCATCCATCTCCTGGGGAAGCCAGAGATCCCCCTCGGCCCTGGGGACCAAGGCAGCGGAGGAGATGCTGGCTCAGGTTTTGGGACTGGTTTTCATCTCGTCCCACGGGAACTGTGACTGAAGCACAGGGTGGGGGAAAATCTGGTTCTGGTCTTGCCCAGCTATGGGTGTGTGGGATCCTGCTCTCCCGTGGGAGCATGGGGAGGGTGCAGGGCTGGGCCTGAGGTGACACTGGGGCTTGCCTGTCCCTGTTTCCCCAGCTCGTGGGACCAGCCTCAGTGCCCCCAGCACCTGGGGAAGCCCATCACAACCTTGACCTGGCCCCCCACCAGCACCCCTTCTCTTTTTCTCCCCAGATGGGTCCTTTCCCTGTCTCAGCTCTGCAAGAAGAAGCTCAGATGTCACAGGAACCTCAGAATGACGTGGCTGACCAGCCCCATGACATCATGCTATGGGGTGAGAAGGGCTATGGGGTGGTGGGTTGGGGCTGCCCTTACCTGGATGACTCTCATGTTGAGGCCGGTCTCCTGGGCCAGCTGCTCTCGGATGTGACGGGTGGGTTTGGGGGTGGCGGCGAAGGCGGCTTTGAGGGTCTCCAGTTGTTTGGCTTTAATGGTGGTACGGGGCCCCCTCCGCTTGGTGCCCGAGTTCTGCTCCTCGTTCTCGTTGTTGGTGGTTTCCTTGTCCGAGGAGGTGG